CCGCGTGCTTGGCCGCCAGGGCATCGCGCTCGGTCACCAAGCCGGCCAGCTGCTCGGCGGCAAGCGTATGCTTGGTGGTCAGCTGGTCGATTTGCTCGGACAAAGTGTCGCGCTCAGCGCTCAGGATGTCACGCTCGGCACTCAGGGCGTCGCGCTCAGTGGCCAGCGCGTCGCGCTCGACGGTCAGAGCGTGCAGCTGGTCGGCCAGCTGCTGGGCGGAGGCGTCGCTCTGCTCCAGCAGGGCCGCATGCTTGGCCGCCAGGGCATCGCGCTCGGCAGTCACGGCATCATGCTTGGCGGTCAACTCGTCAAGGCGCCCGGTCAGAGAGCCGACCTCGGTCGTGAGGGCATCGCGCTGGGCGTCCAGCTCAGCGCGTGCGGCGGCCAACTCGTCACGCTCGGTGGTCCGGGCACGGAGCTCCGCGGCCAGGCTCTCGGAAGAAGCCCCAGCCTCGGCCGCCAAGGCCGCGTGTTTGGCCGACAGGGCCGCATGCTCGGCATGCATGGCATCGCGCGCGGCCTGCAGTTCGCTCACCTGCTCGTCCAGGGAGGTGGCCCTGGCCCGGAGGGCATCCCGCTCGGTGACAAGCTCATCACGCTCGGCGGTCAGGGCCTCCAGCTGCCCGGCCAGCTGCCGGGCGGAGGCGTCGGTTTGCTCCAGCAAGGCCGCGTGCTTGGCTTCGAGCGTCGCATGCCCGGCCTTCAGGGCGTCCAGCTGCCCGACAACATCCGCGTGCTGTGCCGCCAGGGCCTTCTGCTCGGCGCGCACGGCCTCGTGCTCGGCGGTCAGGCCATCCGCGCGCCCGGTCAGCGAGGCGACCTCGGCCAGTAGGGCGTCGCGCTCGGCCAGCAGGGAGGTGTGCTTGGCGGCCAGGGTCTCCTGCTCGGCGGCCAGGGCATCGCGCTCGGCGGTCAGCGCGTGGAGCTGGTCGGCCAGTTGTTGGGCAGAGGCGCCGCTCTGTTCCAGCAGGACCGTGTGCTCGGCCGTGAGGGCCGCATGCTCGGCGGTCAGCTCGTCCGCACGCCCGGTCAGCGAGGCGACCTCGGCCAGCAGAGCGTCACGCTCGACCA